GGACATTCAAGTGTTTGTAGTTACAGGGGACATTAGGGGACATTCAATACTTTGTAGTTACAGGGGACGTTAGGGGACATTCTTGAGTTTGTAGTTACAAGGCACATAAGGGGACATTCAAGAGTTTGTAGTTACAGGGGACTTTAGGGGACATTCAAGAGTTTTTAGTTACAGAGGACGGGACATCAGGGGACATTCAAGAGTTTGTAGTTACAGGGAACATTAGGGGACATTTAAGTGTTTGTAGTTACAGGGGACATTAGGGGGACATTCAATAGTTTGTAGTTACAGGGAACATTAGGAGACATTCAAGAGTTTGTAGTTACAGAGGACATTAGGGGACATTCAAGAGTTTATAGTTACAGAGCCTAGAGGACATCAGGGGACATTCAAGAGTTGTAACTACAAACTTTTGAACGTCCCTTAATGTCCCCTAACATTATCATTACTATTTTTGTAAAAAAGTACATTAGTTTTTAAAAAAAAACTTTTTTAGTACTTCTATAAAAGCTAATAAAAAGTTTAAGGTTTCTCGATCTCATTATTTTAAAGTACGGGGAAAAGTTAAAAACTTCATATTTCAAGGTAAATGATGCCTAAAATTTCTAAATTCTTTAAATGTTGTCTGATCATTAAAAAGCTGACTCATTGATTGGCCAGTTCCTAAAAATATCAAAAATCGAGGAAAAAATCTTCATTTAGTTTTGGCTTTTTTAAAGAACTGTACGCGTAATTTCAAGTGACCTTCCATGCAGAAATGGTAATGTCCTATTTACAATACAACGGCACCCTTGAAAGCTTTGCCAGTATGAATCAGATATGATGTTAGGTACTTTCCCAAAGGCCTTCTCCCAAGTGGCAACTTCCGGAATGGGCAATTTCCCAAGCGAGAACTTCCCAAATATTAATTTTCCCAAATGACAACTTCCCAAGATGAGGCAACTTCCCCATGAAGAAACTTCCCAAATGTACATTTTCTCAAGTAACAATTGCCTTAAATAATTTACTATATTTTCTTTAAAACAAGGAATAGCCGCAGCACTCAGCCTCCTCGCCCAACCTAGCTGCAGCGCTCGGCCCCTATCCCATCCTAGCCGCAGCGCTCGGCCACATTGTAACCTGGGGCGCCTCAGACGTCTAACCTAACCTTAAATAATGTACTTTATTTTCTTTGTATAATAGCTGCAAGCCTGCAGCGCTCGGCTCCCTAGCCCATCCTAGCCTCAGAAGGCTTAACCTAACCGTAAATGATTATAAGAATCGTTTAATACATTTTTATTCTTTGAAAAAAGGGTGTAGGTCACCAACATGTTCTTACTTACTAACTGAGAGAAACTGAATGATTTTTTTAAGTTGTGTTTTTTCTAAAATAAAGTTGAGAAATTCTTTAAATGTTCATTTAATACTTCTTTCATAGGGAAGTTTCCACTTGGGAAATTGCTCATTTGGGAAGTTGCCACTTGGGAAAATACCCTTGGGAAAAGGTTTTTGGGAAAGTACCTATACTTTTGGGGTTTCAATAAAAATTCAAAACATTTTTGTTATTCTCTTCAAATAGAGCTGTGCCATATGATTGAAACATTTACGATTTTATTTTTTAAAAAGTTTCCCTTCATTTAGTGAATATAATTAATTACCAGTTTCTGCAGAAAATCCGCGAGTCGCTTACATACATACAAAGTTTAAATTCAAAATTTGATAACATGGTTAACTGTTGTGCTCAAAAAAATTTTATTGTAAATCCAGAATGTAACCTTTGTACGAAATTATGTCGACAGTCTGATTTATATTGATTTAAATTTTTCATATACAAACATTGTCCAAAATAATTTAAGGGTAAGTATTTTATTTCTTGCAATGAATACCCCCGTATCTATTCCCTTCTTTAGTGTTGGTACTAAATCTGTGTAATCTAAAAATAGAGGCTGCACTCAGAGGAAACATTTTTGGGGAAACCATTCATTCTCTATTCATTTACCCGAGGATGTGACGTAGATGTGACGTAGGTTCGGATGTTGATAAAAAGTGTATCCTCCTAACCCCCCCACCCCCTCCAGGGGTTTGTTTTTATCTTTTGCTCCCCCCCCCTCGAAAACTTTTTATAACCCCTCTTCCCCCCCTCTCTCTGTCTGATAGAACAATTTAATTAACAAAGCTAAATGCAATCTTGAGAAATGTAAAACCGATTATTTTGTTAAAGCATTGAAATGGCAAAAAAACAGCAATGGCCAAAACTAAGTTTCCAAGTTTTTTTTGCACAGAGATTACAACAACATATTTGTTACAAGAGATTTTAACATTTAGTAAAGGATTGACAATATTTCATTGCGTATCCAATTAATCCTATTTCTGCTGAAGTACTTTAAACTTTAAACCCTGGGTGTACAGGACGATGGGTTGTCAATTTTCCCCTGTTTGATGTCTGAAATGTTCCCTCTCTTTATATATGTATATATAACCGATCAGATCCAACGATCGATCGAGATTGAAAAAGAAAATAACTTTCTTTAAAAGATTTTGATTTCTTATTTGAAATCCGTCAATAAAAATTAGAAAATCAGCGAAATGATTAATAGAAGAATAACGGTTTGCAGACATATCATCAACAAAACACTGAACTAATTAAAGAAAAAGGACCTAGAGCCTATTAGAACACAACATTTTAAAACAGCTCTACTTTTGTTAACAGCAAAAATTAGCAAACTTGTAAACATCGGATTTTCTTTTTAAATGCAGTTCAATAGAAACGAAAGTTTGCAGAAAAATATCTAAATCATGACAAATTTTTACATTTTTAATGAAGCTTTTTAACCATACAATTTTTAAACGCGCTTAAATATTTTACATTTTTAAAACCTTGGTGCAAATCAAGAGAAATACACAAATTTTGAAAAAATGTATTAATTTGGCGAAAGAGAAATCATTTGTAATACAAAAATAAGGGTGTTTATTGTTTGTTTATTGTTCGGTTATTGTTTGTTTATTGTTCATTTATTGTGTATTTATCGTTCATTTATTGTTTGTTTATCGTTTGCTTAATTTTCGTTTATTATTCGTTTATTGTTCATTTATTGTTCGTTTATTGTTCGTTCATTGTTCGTTTCTTGTTTCTTTATTGTTCGTTTATTATTTGTTTATTGTTTCTTTATTGTTCGTTTATTGTTTGTTTATTGTTAGTTTATTGTTTGTTTATTGTTTGTTTATTGTTTGTTTATTGTTCATTTATTGTTTGTTTATTGTTTCGTTATTGTTTCTTTATTGTTTGTTTATTGTTTGTTTACTGTTCGTTTATTGTTTGTTATTGTTCATTTATTGTTTCTTTATTGTTTGTTTATTGTTTGTTTATTATTCGTTTATTGTTCGTTCATTGTTCTTCGTTAATTGTTCGTTTATTGTTTGTTAGTTGTTTGTTTATTGTTTTTTGTTGTTTGTTTATTGTTTGTTTATTGTTTATTCATTGTTTGTTTATCATTTGCTTATTGTTCGTTTATTATTCGTTTATTGTTCGTTTATTGTTCGTTTATTGTTCATTCATTGTTCGTTTATTGTTTGTTTATTTTTTTAAATTTTTTTATTGTTTGTTTATTTTTTGTTTATGGTTTGTTTATTGTTTGTTTATTGTTCCTTCATTGTTCTTCGTTAATTGTTCGTTTATTGTTTGTTAGTTGTTTGTTTATTGTTTGTTTATTGTTTGTTTATTGTTTGTTTATTGTTCATTCATTGTTTGTTTATCATTTGCTTATTGTTCGTTTATTATTTGTGTATTGTTCGTTTATTGTTCGTTTATTGTTCATTCATTGTTCGTTTATTGTTTGTTTATTTTTTAAGATTTTTTATTGTTTGTTTATTGTTTGATTATTGTTTGTTTTTGGTTTGTTTATTGTTTGTTTATTGTTCGTTTATTGTTCGTTTATTATTCCTTTATTGTTAGTGAGCCACTCGTTTTATTTGTTATGTTCTCAAAATTTTCGTTCATTTTCCATCTATTCGTTTTTTTTTCATTTCTCTAACGTATCCAAGTCGTTTGTCCATCGTTTTTTCCCCTTTTTTTCTGAACACCACCATCGTTCACGAAAATTTTGTTTAATCTCATAATTTCGATCGTTCACAAGAACGATGCCCATCTCTAGTCACATGTGACGCTTTTCCAACTTGTTCAATCAGGGTTTAGACTCTCATTCTCTTCTTTCTGTTCATTTCCTGTGAAAACTGTCAAGCATTTTCTTTCCCAATCAGCCAAGTGATTGGTCCTTCAGTTAAAAAAATAGTCATGCGCTTTTTCTCATCAAGACAAAATTCTATATCATTACAATTTAAAATTATTTTTAAACATAAAAAAAATTTTAGGTAAAAAAAAATTAAAAGATTGTTCTTAAAGGGACTAAATTTCAAGTGACAATCGTGCATTATACATCTATTGATTGGTTGTTGAATTCACAACTGTATTGGTTAAAGCCTTTGTTTTACAAAGCTGAATGAGACATTACTGTTGAAAAAATGATTATATTTGATTGTGGTTTCTAAATAAAGGTTTTAGAACCTTTTTCGCTTAGATATCTAGTGACAACCTTCTATATGTATAAAGCTGGCTTTCAGCGTAAGCAAATATTATTTATATTCAAATATTTATTGAATTATGATGCACATATAATGGATTGTCATATATCATGCAGCGTAGCACCATATGGTGCAAAATGCACATAAAGCTTAGTAAAACATTTGCAGCCAAAATATTCTGCTCATCTGGTCTTTTGAGGTGTGCACGAGGCCCCAACAAAACCAAATGTTCTAGAAGCAAATGGATTTGGAAGACTTGAATCCCCGGTCTCCCCCTTTCAGAGGCCATACTGGGATAGATAGATAGATTGATAGAGGACCAGATATAGGATAGAGGTTTGCCACCAGACCGTCTTGTGACTTCATTCTGAGAGGAGCCAAGTAGCATTGTAAAGAGATTACAGTTCATGAATTCATTTATTTCAAGCCAGCGTCGGGTGCGTATTCAATCAATTAATCATCGTAGATGTCACATGTTTTGTGTGCGCCAAGTGCCCCGTAGTTTTACAAACAATCCTGCTGTTGACAGCTTGCCCTGCCACATATGGTCCTTTGTAACAAAGAAAAGGAATAAAGAAGATAATTAGAATTAGTTTTTAACACATGTCAGCACATCTTTCAGGGAGCCTATAGCATAGCAACATAACATCTTAAAACATGCAGGACACTTTCAATCGATGTCGAAGTATTTAAGCGTCAATAAATATCCTATTTTTCACACATTCACAAACATTTATTCAAATGAGATGTTCTCCCAAATTTTCCTAACATTGACTGATTTTTTATTGAAAATGATCTAATTGTAGAATAAAGACAGAAAATAAAGATTTTGAAAATGTTAAATCCTAAGATTTGTAAACATACACGTGGTTTCCTGACAAACATTTAAAGTTATGATATTTGATAAAACTTCAAAATTATATAAAAATACCTGAACAAAAATAACCGTGCAGTCCAAAAGTCGTATTTACCCACGTAAGTGTAACTAACTAACCCTGTTGTCATAAACCTTTAAAAAAACACAGAATTAAAATTTAAGGATTTAGATTTTTGTTTTGCGTGGGACGGAAACCCAAATATTTTATGAATATTTGTTTCAACCAAAATTTACAATTTCACCGTTTTTATTCTTTCCATTCCACTTTCACTCTTTCTTAATTCTCTTCTTCCTCTAAATAAATAGTTCCTTTCCTATTTTTTGCTATTTTTTTACATTTTTCTCACATTTTGCACATTTTTTACATTTCTGGCATCGAGTTCTCTTCAAATGTTTTTTTTAGGTTTTGTTTGTTCATTTTCCTCAATCCAATTCTTATTTTTTTAATAATTTAAACCTATTTTCTATCTTTTAAGGGGACTGTTATAGTGTAATTTTGTGTGACCCTCAATGCAAAGATTTCAACTCCCGATTTACTATGGTAATCGTGAAACCTTAATCTGATCAAAAATGTGAAAGATATAATTGTTATTGTGGATTCAAACAGAGTTTTTTTCTTTCTAAAAATAACCATTGATATCTCTATACTTGATTAGATATAGGTTTAAGGGTACCGTTGTAAATCGGGCATTGCCATCTATGCATGAAGAGATACTAGTTATTACGCTTACAGTCCCTTTAATACCCGCCTAGTCTTGACCTTATTAATACATATGTATATTTCAATTATCTTGTACATTTACAATAATTTAACATGATAAATATAAACATCAAATTAGCTACCTCGGCAACCTCGCTCTGACATGAAGATACATATGTTCTACAAAGCACACATCAAGTAAACTAAATTTCATGTTAGACTGACATCTATGTTTTTAAAATAGTTTTTAATTCCTGATATGCAACTAATTTAACTTGTTTCACCTGTACTTGGGGTGTACTAGAGGAGGCCCCAATGTTGTATATATTTTCTAGATTAAATAATAGTTCTTGAAACATTTTTAAAATTCTTATTTTAAATGCTTTTCAAATATTAAATGATTTTTGGATTAGCTTTTGTTTTCTTCGTTTCCCCTGTTCTCTACTGATAATACATGCAGTAGCTTTCTTTTGTAGCTTTCTTCTCGAACTATAGCCAAGATTTTATTTTCCTTAAAATCGCTAACATTTTAAAAGAACAAATCTGACCCATATTCGCTGCATTACTAACTCCATAGTAGTAGATTATGTTACAGCTTAGTACATGCATTAGAGCTCAGTACATCTGTAGAGTACATTACATTAGAGCTCTGTACATCAGTAGAGTAGATTGCATTAGAGCTCTGTACATCAGTAGAGTACATTACATTAGAGCTCTGTACATCAGTAGTGTACATTACATTAGAGCTCTGTACATCATTAAAGTACAATACATTAGAGCTCTGTACATCAGTAGAGTACATTGCATTAGAGCTCTGTATATCAGTAGAGTTCATTACATTAGAGCTTTGTACATATATAGGGAGAGTTGAGTACATCAGTAGAGTACATTAAATTAGAGCTCTGTACATCAGTAGAGTTCATTACATTAGAGCTCTGCACATATATTGGGAGAGTTGAGTATATCAGTAGAGTACATTACATTAGAGCTATGTACATCAATAGAATACATTGCATTAGAGCTCTGTACATCAGTAGAGTACGAAACATTAGAGCTCAGTACACACGCCAAAAGTGTTGAGTACATCTATAGAGTACATTACAAAAGTTTAGTGCATTCATTTGAAGAGTTTGAGTACATCAGTACAGAACATTACATCAGTACAAAAAAAATTAGAATAAACCGAAAGAGAACTTTCAAAAAATATTTATGTATATACAATACAACAACAACAAGATATTCTCTTTCAATTTGTAAATATACAGCAATCTTTTTAAAAATGTCAATATTTTTATATTCTTGTTCAGCGGATAGAGAATATTTAATATTCTGTCATTACATTTCTTGAAAAACAATCTGGTCGCCATTTCTTCTTCTTATCACAAATGTGAGAAAGCCACCCCCCCCCCCTGGAAAAGAAAGGAAAGCTGTTTATAGAAGAATGTATAGACCAATATAGGCCTAGCTAGCGTCAATAGAGAATTCATTAAGCCCTGCACAACCTTAGTTGTCAAAAATATGTATAAATAAAACTATATTATATATATATATTTATATATATATATATATAAGTAAAACTGTAAATAAACTATATTTTCTCAGGGTTATCACTTACTCATAGTTAGTCCTGCCGTTTCCCCGCGCTTGGTCGTAAATTATGATTTATTTTACTTTAAAAGTCGACCCACTCAATCTAAAATCTTAAACCAAGCTAAGAACATTCCCGTGGTTCTACCGAATTTGAGGCAAATCGGTCCAGTGGTTTATGAGTTATGATCGAACAAACAGACAAATAGAGATTACAAGTTTATATATAGATATATAATAAATTTATTATTCAATCAAAAAAACAGACAAACATCCTCATACACAATGTTTCCTGGACCAATTGTCATAGACCAATCTTCAGTGAGGTCTGTTCTCGACTCCAAATAGATAGATAAATAGATATATGTATACTTAAATAAAGCAAAATAAGCTTTTCATTATCATTAACTTAGAACATCGAACTTTTAATAGCTTAAAAATAATTCTAAAATTAAATTTAAAAAAAAACATTAATTGAATGGAAAGCTAAATTGCATACATTCTGAAAGAAACTTACTGCAAAGGCTAAATTCTGAACAATTTCTTTTTTCACTCTGCAACACAAATCTGTAAGTCACATTTAAATAAAAACCATAATTGAAGAAAATAAATTTTTAAAGAGAAGATGAAGGATACTTAAACTCCTCGATAAATGTATGTCAATAAAAATGTATGCCAATATAAATTTATGCCAATATAAATGTATGTCAATATAAATGTATTTCAATATAAATGTATGCCAATATAAATGTATGTCAATATAAATGTATTTCAATATAAATGTATGCCAATATAAATGTATGTCAATATAAATGTATGTCAATATAAATGTATATCAATATGAATGTATTTCAATATAAATGTATGACAATATAAATGTAAGTCAATATAAATGTAAGTCAATATAAATGTATTTCAATATAAATGTATATCAATATAAATGTATTTCAATATAAATGTATGCCAATATAAATGTATGCCAATATAAATGTATGTCAATATAAATGTATTTCAATATAAATGTATGCCAATATAAATGTATGCCAATATAATTGTAAGTCAATATAAATGTATGTCAATATAAATGTATATCAATATAAATGTATATCAATATAAATGTATGCCAATATAAATGTAAGTCAATATAAATGTAAGTCAATATAAATGTATGTCAATATAAATGTATGCCAATATAAATGTATGTCGCCGGTCCATTCAAGTATTTTCCGTTCTATTAACAGTTTAAAAATGGTGAATCATATCTAAGTCACAATAGCTTTAACAATTTTAAAATAGTTTACCATAAAAGATAAATGTCATCCTTACAATTAACAAAAATAAAGAAATGTAAAAACCAATTGAGCTGTTGCTGAATTTCTCTCCAAAATATTATTGTAGGATATATTCTAGATTTAATTAATATTCCCAACTTCTTGTCGGAACCCAATGGTTTATTTAGGTTTAAAATCTACCAAATAATTTCATCATGGTAAATTCTGAAATGTTAAATGTTGTTCAAACAAAGAAAGATTTCAAATACCATCAAATGAAAAACTAGGATAAAAAATGTATTTGTTCTGCTGCCGGCTGGATGGTATTTAATCCGCCCTCAGAATTTCTATACTTCTTCAAAATCATCCAAAAAATCTTAAAATAAACAATTTGATTTTAATTTTTCAATTTTTGTTAAGTTTAATACTATATTCTAATATTTAGATAGCGACCCCCCTGGGTTCACCCCTTATATTTGGTTTCAAGGCCACAGATCTGGTACTTTAAACATCTATCTTCCCTAGCTGTTAATCTATCTATCCTACATCTATCTATCTCAAAGTATTCTCACTGCTTCAGCTACTTTATGACCAGGGTCCGGTTAAGAAGACCCAAAGGGGGAGGGAGAGGGGGAGGGGGGTTGGTTAAAAATTAATAATTTTTAGCTTGTTCTAAAAGTACAATAATTTTGTAATTAGAATAAAAGAAAAAAGAAACATGTTACGCACTGAAATTAAATTTTTTTCTAAAAATGCAGCTAATTTTACAAATCGTGACTGAAAAAAAATAAAAAAATTTAATCTGCATAAAATCCCCCCTTCCTCGATGTATTCGGAAAATTCTCTTTCAATTTGTAAATATACAGCAATCTTTTAAAAATGTCAATATTTTTATATTCTTGTTCAGCGGATAGAGAATATTTTAATATTCTGTCATTACATTTCTTGAAAAACAATCTGGTCGCCATTTCTTCTTCTTATCACAAATGTGAGAAAGCCCCCCCCCCCCCTGGAAAAGAAAGGAAAGCTGTTTATAGAAGAATGTATANAACAAAATGGCCGTTTTACACTTTTTTCTAGTAAATTCCCCTCTAATATATATTCTATTCTCTTTGCCCATAACGTGCTGTAAAATATAATGTACCACAGTACTGATTACATATAACGTTCTGCACACATATAAATATAAAGTACTGCATACAATTTTTGTACTGCAATGCTTGACTTTGAAAGGAATATATTTGTAAGCTAGTATTTCTATTGATCTGTAAAGCTAGTAGTTCCATTGATTTGTAAGCTAGTAGTTCCATTGATTTTTAAGCTAGTAGTTCAATTGATTTGTAAGTTAGTATTTCCATTGATTTGTAAGCCAGAATAGCCCATCTGTCTTTAAAATCTAAAGATTTTTTCCTTATGCTATTTTCCCTCACCCGGCACTTTCCTTGAATTATATTATTTCAACTCTCTCCCCCCCCACCCTCCGATTAAAGACCGAGAGAAATTTGCTTTTTAATGCATTTGTTTCGTTATTAATAGATTTGGAATCTTTTCTGTTACATTTTTGCAACTTCTAAACTTGTTAAAATTATCTTTTTTTTGTGGAAAGTAACTAGGTAACATTAAGATTTTGCCACCCATTATGTAAGATTGAATAATTTCCATACGTGACTTAATAATATTAATTCCAATATCAATTCATGACTTTTTAAATGAAACAAATCTGTAATATTAAAATTATTTAAACTGAAAAACATAAAAACTTGTTAATCAAGTGAACAGTGAACACATGTGCAAAATGTTTAATCCAAACTCAAATTCTGGACCGGAAAACATGCCAAAATGTTTAATCCAAACTCAAATTCTGGACCGGAAAACATGCCAAAATGTTTAATCCAAACTCAAATTCTGGACCGGAAAACATGCCAAAAAAACAGTATAACTCTATTTTATGTGACTGATGATTTTCATTTCTATATAATTAAACAAATCATACTAAAGTTTTAACATTTTTAAAGTTTTTAATGGTTCAGTGCATCAAAAATATGAAACCGTATTTTCTTGTTACGTGCAGAGCATCTTCTATGAATTAAAAATGTTAAAGAAAAAATACAAAATAAACTTCAGGCGCCCAAATTGAATCAGTTCAGCATATACAATGAGAATCAGAAAACTCCGGAATAGGAAGACGACTTTTTAGACTCAAGTTATGACTTTTAATAGTCTGATGAACATGGGACAAAGCAATTGTGCAGTGTAAACAGACCGATTTAATTAAAGTTACTAGTAAAACTATTTTCTATTTGTAAAAACATGAACTACATTCAACAGTTTTCTGGTTATTACTGTACAAGTGTACATAAGAAATTAAACCGAGCCGTACATAAATTGTATTTGTTTGCAGGCCGGAAAGCTGGATGGTAAATCAGAACTGTACTGCAAGCTAAAAATGGAGTCCTACCTAACCTCCATAGACATTAAGGTAAACATTTAAAAAATTATTAAATATAATTTTTTTATTATTTAAATTGTGTACGTTTTCGAGAAAAAAATTGAAAACATTGTAATTTTAACTTTTATGGGATTTTTTTTTATTCAAAAACTGCATCAAAACCATTTGCATTAGCTTTCTTTGTAAAATTAACAACATTGTGAATAAGACTGAAGGAGACTGTCAAATTTATACCAGATTACTAAACCGACTTGGTAACCTCGTTTCTACTTTCTTGGATTTAACGAGCATTTTAAGAAAAGTAAATTTATCCGTGTCCGAATTTAATGAATTTGATCCGCGTCTAAAATCCGCCAAAAACCGGTTTCAATAGAGCGCCGGCTTAAATCTTAAAACAATGAATACGATTTTAAGTAGAGCCAACCATATTTGAGCCGCGGCTTACATTTAAGCCGCGGCTCAAATTCTTTAAATTCGGTCTCAGGTTATTTATAAGTAATTCAAAATACTTTCTTCGTCTCAACTCTCAATAGCTCTTTAAAAAGGAGGAGTTTTGATTTAAAACAAAACTGAAACTTTAGTTTGACTTAACACATTTTTAACAATTTTTTTTAAAAACCGCAATCAGTCATAAATGGTCAATTTAACAACCGTCAACAACGCTCTTTAAACGTGGATTAAAGTTTCTTTTTCCATAAATAAATCAATTAAATATGTGTTTTTGGCATCTGTAACTTTCCAAATTAATTAAAGAGAAAATGAAATAGATTTCCCAGTTTTTAGTAGTTCGCCTTTCCCACTAAGAAATATTGCAACTATCCTTTTCCCCTAGAATTGTAACATGGAGACAGTTGTGCACATTTCATAGATAGATCAAGTAAAAATCAGAGATTCATTTTTTTTTTTTTAATTTTTTATTTTTATTTGTGATGGCTTCTCTGCAAAATGGCTGGTTGTTATATGATTAGATTTAAGGAAAAAATTTAATAATTGAAATTAAAACCCACCCTGCAGCAATTTTTGATCTTCATTATTTTTCTTTATTTTTTTTTATTAAGTGGCCGTGAAACCTTACCTAGAAAATCACTAAATATGTAAAGTTACTTTCTTTCAATTATTAGTAATAAATGGTGAATACCATATATCATAGCGGAATTCTTATCAATAATGTAAGAAAAATCATTATATAAAAAGTTTTGTTGTTTGGTTGGGAAACTAGCTTCTTAATATATAATATAATAATAATTCATTTATTGATACGAAATTTGAAAAAGGGATTTAATTTAGTCTATTAAAATAAAATCAACCTCAATGAAATACATTGGCATTCTTAAAAACTCCCGAAAATGTTTAAAAATATAAGAAACTGTTCTGTTTTTTGCCTTTATCCTTTGTCTACACTTTTTGCTCGCTGTCTACAGAGATAATGAAGTTTATTGTAAGAACCCAGCAATATGTTGGAACAAAAACTCGTAAACCAGGATAAAAAATAAAAAGCTATAAGAGTAAGGCATGATTCCGCAGTAAAGGTTTATGTTTCCTGGAAACCATCTTAATATACCAGGCTAGTAGAAAAATGTAAGTTTGGGTCTATATCTCAAACCTATTCTGCCTGTTTTGTGTATTGATCAATAACATGAAAGATATTGTCATTTTCTAGATTGAAAAATATTAAATTCTGCTAATTAATCTATTGCTTCTGAAGCACAATAAAAATAATCATTTTAAAAAAAGACAAAGGTGTTGAAGAGACTGTAAAGGAAAAATGAAAGGGGGTATAGGCTGAAAGGTAATCACTTTAGCTCTCGATTGCGACCCATGAAAGTTATATCTGATGTTCCTATCTCGAGAAACTGATATACAACTGTGTCAAATTTATACGAAAATTAATATATTTACAATTTTGTATAAAAGTAGTCAGTTTAAATAGATCAAATTCAGCAAATAAGCAACCAATCTGAAAACGATGATATTCCAGAGAAAGCTAATTGTAAAGTAGGCTTACTCCGATTATAATTTTATATTTTTTATTTATATTTTTAATAGATTTAATTCATTAAATTATTTATACGTCCGTATTACTTTACCAGAAATTCCACCAATGACAGTGCAGTAAAGTGGTCATGTGATACAGGCGGAGACACGTGACCAGTATACTACTCTGCCATTGGTGATAGTTCTGGTCACGTGATTTAAGTTTAAGATTTTCTAAATTTTACAAATATGAACTTTAGTATAATTTTAACACAGTTTATATCAATTTCTCGAGACAGGAACATCAGATAAAACTTTCATGGGTCGCGATCAAGAGCCAAAGTGATTAGCTTTCAGCCTATACCCCTCTTTCATTGTTCCTTTACAGTCCCTTCAACATCTATGTGCATCAAAATTAATACTTTTCTGAAAATACTTGCTCCAACTTTTGAATTTGATTCAAAAAGGGTATTTTTGATGTTCACTCTGTTTTACAATCAAACTGATTTTTCCCTTCCGTGTAATCCCTAAATTTACCCAACATCCTTATTCATAATAAGCGTGCATCCCTTTATAATATATACACGCGCATCTTCGAGCTACGCGCGTCTTCTAGTCATAAATTTAATATTCTCTATTATTTTATAATATGTGTATACAGCGAGGTGTATTTTACATAAACCATATTTTACATGAACCATATTTTACATGAACCATATTTTACATGAACCATATTTTACATGAACCATATTTTACATGAACCATATTTTACATGAACCATATTTTACATAATCATATTTTACATGAACCATATTTTACACGAATTATATTTTACATGAACCATATTATAAATGAACCATATTTCACATTCAGCTTATTTTACATAAACAATATTTTACACGAAACATATTTTACATGAATTATATTTTACATGATCCATATTTACATAAACCATATTTTACATAAAGCATATTTCACATAAACCATATTTTACATAAACCATATTTTACTTGAATTATATTTTACATGAACCATATTTTACATGAATTATATTTTGCATGAACCATATTTTAAATCAACTATATTTTGCATTGAGCTTATTTTAAATAAACCATATTTTACATGAACCATATTTTACATGATTTATATTTTACATAAATTATATTTTACATGAACCATATTTTACATGAGCCATATTTTACATTTAGCTTATTTTACATGAACCACATTTTACATGAATTATATTTTACATAAGCCATATTTTACATAAAGCATATTTTACATTAAGCATATTTTACATAAACCATATTTTACATAAAGCATATTTTACATAAACCATATTTTACATGAACCATATTTTACATGAATTATATTTTACATGAATCATATTCTACATGAACCATATTTTACATGATTTATATTTAAATGAACCATATTTTACATGAACCATATTTTACAAGATTTATATTTTACATAAACCATATTTTACATTAACCATATTTTACATGTTATTTTTGTCAATACAACTTTAATATTTTCGTTACTTTTTAACATTCGAAGCGTTTTTTTTGTAAAAATCAGATTATTGTGGATTGCAGGTATTAGTACACAATTTCCAAGGTTCGGATTAAAATATGTGAAAAATTGAGGGGTTGGATCAATTATAACCTAGCCTTGTTTAATGGATTTTATATCCGGGTTTTATTTTGTTTACTCTTTCGATAACAATCATTATCTACTATGCTGATCAACCAAAAAACAGTACAGTACAGTACAGTACAGTACAGTACAGTACAGTACAGTACAGTACAGTACAGTACAGTACAGTACAGAGTTTTTATACCAATCATATTTGCAACGTGCCTGCAGGAATGAAATCTTAAAATGGATTTTTGTCACATATTTTTCAGCACTTGAAGTAGTTAATCATTTGCGTTTTTTTTTGATAATTCTAAGTTCTACGTTGAATATTTTTAAAGTGGTTTTATCAATAGTTTGTAAAGCCTTTTATGATTTACAACTTAATAAAGAATATTCATTGTATTTCTACATTTATCCAAAAAGTTTTTTGTCTGACCCTAAGTTTTTTATTATAAAAAAAATATTTTTTTCTATAAAATCATTTCATACCAATTCGTTAACTATGTAATGATTTGTTATGTTTTGTAGTATTTAAAATATTTGATCAGTAATGATACCAGTTCACAAGGAAATATGATTTTTTATATTGGATTATTTTTAGTATTATTATTATTTATATTATTGGGTATTTGCCAAATTATCATTATTTTTATCAATAATAAAAATAATTCTAAAAAACTGAACAATTTATTGTGAAGAATGAATGCGAAATTTTGCCACAAACTCTAATTTTCTTAGCCAAACATCTGTGCATTGTGGAAGTAAACCTTAAATTTTTGAAACTATGAATTTTGTGAGGTCAAAATCTTAGATTGAAATATCACAGGTTGCGGAAAATCTTCCTTAACCCCCTGCGGTGACCAGAATTTATAAATAGCGAGAAGCAGTTCAACTTCCTTTACCCAGTTCTAATTTAATTTTGATTGTAAAATAAAAATAAAAAAATATCAAATCATCGAATTTTTAGGATTTTTTAAAAATGATTTTGCTATTAACAATCTGTTTGCATTTTCTACAAAATGTTCATAATTTAAAAAAGCTTCTGTTGAGATTTCAAGTGCTTAAAGTTTTTAAGCTTTCACGCTAAAATGAAAATTTTTGTCAAAATTCTCCTTTTAAACATAAACTAGAAGGCCATTGGTGATAGTTCTGGTCACGTGATATAAGTTTAAGATTTTCTAAATTTTACAAATATGAACTTTAGTATAATTTTTACACAGTTTATATCAATTTCTCGAGACAGGAACATCAGATAAAACTTTCATGGGTCGCGATCAAGAGCCAAAGTGATTAGCTTTCAGCCTATACCCCCCTTCATTTTTCCTTTACAGTCCCTTTAAA